AAATTCCTCCAAATTTCTCAATCTGATAGAGCATCTGTGGGATGTGCTGGACCAACAAATCAGGTCCATGGAGGCTCAACTTGCAGGACTTAAAGGATCTGCTGCTAATGGCTTGGGGCCAGAAACCACAAGACACATTCAGAGTTATTGTGGAGTATAATGGGTTAAAAGTGGGGTTTATACAAACGATAACGCAGGGTTAAAGCTCAGTGTGAAAAGCCCCCATATATGGAAAAGAAGGTGAAGCAGAGGGTGACGCAGTAGAAACCAGTCAGAAACCTCATTGTATCTGGCATCTATAGTGTCACTTACATCTGATTTTCCCCCTCTTTTCTAATGTACACTATTTAGTATATGTCTGTATTTTGTTATTGTACTACTTCAATTGCAATAATAATAAATAATCATAATAATGAATAAATAAATAAATGAATAAGTAAAGGAGATTTGACTACTAAGGAAGTCTCCTCCTTTGCAATATTTCCACCAACTGAAGAAACATCCGAGTCAATAGTTAATCCAGTGCACTCAAGTCAGTGAAGCATTCATATAATTTATCTGAAATTAACTTTCTCAAATAAATTTATCTTTCAATCTTTCATTGTCTATGTGAGTGTCTATATGAAATAATACAGACACTTCCTCTATGATTATCTATAACCTGTGTGGAACATCTCACAAGTGTTGTTTCTGTGCAAGAGTGAGCTCAGTTGCTGAGCAACAGCCTTCCCCAGTACCTTGGAGATAAAATACATATGTGAAATAGACTGATAATTAAACCAATCACAAGGATCTGCTTTCTTAATTAAGGCTTTAATGTCAGCAGTTTTAAAGAATTCTGGCATGTGACTTTGCAAAAACATTGGGTTATTTTTACTAATTCACATGCCACAATTTACCAACTTCACACTGTGAATCTATGAGCAGCATTAAAGGTACAAAACTGAACAAGTATATGCTGTTCTCTGAGATGGGACCAGCCAGTTTCCTCAAAAATAACAAGCTGTCAATGGAAGGAACACACAGAATGTTACTGTAAACTGAAGACTCTCATTTAGTGCCTGGATCTTTGCTTTTTCAGCCACTGTATGGAAGATTAATCTAGTTTTACTCTTAATTAAATGGCTCATACATAATGAATTCTTTAATTTTCCTTAACCTTTTCAAAAGTTCATCCAATGTGCAAAAAGACCATTTATTTAAACTACATTGCAAAAAAAGTCTAATTCTGGTGTCAAACAGATGAATATATTAACATATGACCATCTAAATTTGCATGTCAGCAACATATATTCTGTTTTCATTAATGGAATAGTTCACCTAAAAATAAAAATGTGCTTACTAAATGTATGCACCCTCAGACAATCCAAGATGTAGATGAGTTTGTTTCTTTATCAGAACAGATTTGGAGAAATGTAGCATTACATCACTTGCTCACCAGTGGATCCTCTGCAGTGAATGGGTGTCATCAGAATGAGAGTCCAAACAGCTAATAAATAATCCACAAGTAATTCACACAACTCCAGTCCATCAATTAATGTCAAACAAATCCATCATTAAGGCAAGATACGAGTCCATAATCTATAATAGTGCTTTCTCCAGTGAAAAAGCCCATCCCCTGTTGTCCTCTCACATCAAAACCCAAAGACATATTTGTTTTGGACTGTTTTTGCTTGTAAACAGTGCTAATCTGTGCATATTACTCTCCTGATTCAGACAAGATGGCTCTTTCACTGGTTTATAGTTAAAAACGTTGTGATGCATTTTTTTCCTAACAAACATGCAGCTTTTCACTTCATAAGACGGACTGGAGTGGGCTACTTGTAGATTATTATGATGTTTTTATCAGCTGTTTGGACTCTCATTCTGACGGCACCCATTCACTGCAGAGGATCCATTGGAGAGCAAGTGATAATACATGTTTCCAAATCTGTTCTGATGAAAAAACAAACTCTACTACATTTAGGGTGAGCAAATTTTCATTTGTTGGTGAACTATTCCTTACTTGGCCCACAAAGTCAAAGAAGATTACAGATAGATACTATAACTCAGTTAGTACAGTACATAACAACCTTACATTAAAAACACATCAGACCCATTTAATTTTAAACTCTCTGAACTGAACTTGTAACAATGTATTGTAGCATTCACGAAAGAGGCTGTTTTGCATGTATAATTGTATGTATTATTTTTGTAATACATTACATTATTTGCATTTTCCTTTTGGATGAACTTTACCATTAAAAGTAGATTATCAGTAAAGACCGGTTTAATTATCTGCTCAGAGAGAAGGTGTATAAATGGTAATGTAAACCAGGAGAATGAATATCTTATTGTCATGGTCTTACTTTCTCATGGAATTAATTCAGTAACACCAAGAAGAGTCACACTGCATATAAATAAAGGATATTCTGAATATTTAAGTCTTTGTAATTTGCATTTACAAGTGCCACTAGATGCTGCAGCTGGCACACATTTCCAGACAGCAATACATCAGATGAATACTGCCACTGTTGTATCTTGCATTATATAATCGCTCTGATTAGAGAATACATATTAAAGTCATCTTGTTCAGTTCAAACATCTGGCCATTGCACGTGTTCAGTAACAAATAATTGATTATATATTCTCTTACTCATGAATAGACTCACTGATCAGATGAATAATTCAATGATTCAATCATAAGTGATTCAGATTGCTGGTGTATAAGCACTATTTCAATTTGACAACAAACTTTGTCTGTTTTGCAGCATAATGCTCAGGTTTTATTCATGAATAATTCATTTTAGAATGCTAATGACATTTCTGACCCATGTAATGACATCATCATCTGACAATCGTGTCCTTCATCAAATCAACAGAAATGGCAAAGAGTTTTGTAAGAGCAGAAGGTGCTGAATCAGAAAGAAAGAATCGATCAATTTGACAAATGTCTTTGTTTATTGCCTCAGGTAATGTACCTACCGGAAAACTTCATTTAACACAATGTCTCTGTTCTCTTGAGGAAACCGCCTTTCGCTTTCTTCAATCTAATATAGCTGACATCAATTGATACACTAGAGGGAGAAATAGGTTTGTTTCACTGTTTGTGGAAGGCGTACTGCGTTCATTTGACCGACTTCCATTCCTTAACCCTCATCCGTCCCTCGGGTCATTTTGACCCAAAACAAAGTCTTTTTTTTTTTTAATTGAGCGTTGAGCGTTGTGTTTTTAGACTTTTTTTTAACTTTTGTGACCGACTTCCATTCCTTAACCCTCATCCGTCCCTCGGGTCATTTTGACCCAAAACAAAGTCTTTTTTTTTTAATTGAGCGTTGAGCGTTGTGTTTTGAGACTTTTTTTTTTACTTTTGTCACGCTTGAACCGGGACCATTTGTCACACTTGAACCGGGGTCATTTTGACCCGCCACTGGAAAAGCATGGAATTTACAAAAATTTTGTCATACTTGAGCATGGAGCACACACAAAACAAATTTGAGTCGATTCAAGGATTCTATGTGTAATAAAATAAGGTGTAATACAAAAAGTAACAAAAGTGTCCCTCGCGGGTCATTTTGACCCAGCCAAAGGAATGAATGGAATGTCCAAACAAAAACTGGCATTTTTTTATTTATTTGATTTTGATTTTTACTATATAAAATCTGACACAATCCAGAAAAGATGCATACCCAAACAAAGGGCTGAGACTGCAGAATGTCCCCAATGCACAAAAAACTCACATACCCACACACACAGGAACACACACTCCCATTGAAACACATTATAGCATTTATGATGTTTCTACTGGGAAATGACTGTCATTTTGATTTTATTATTTTTTTTTTTTACTTAACACAGTTACATTTGAGTGATGGGGTGGAGATCAATGAGTTAATATCATATTTATATTTTTAAATGTTTTGGCCTTCAGATCATTTTGACCCGCGAGGGACACTTTTGTTATAGGTTCGGGAGGGACGGATGTTAAAGGGATAATCATTATTTACCAAGCGGCAACCTTCCGGTCTCTCTCTTGAAACCAACATGGAAGTGAATTAACCTGCAATTCATCGACTGGCTGCTAGAGACTGGCTCCAAAAGGGAGTCAATCCCATAGACCCCCCATGTTAAAATGCCCAACTTTACAGCAGAGAAATATATGTTTACAGCCTGGTACAAAAAGTGGTTTTGGTCTATATAGCTAATTTTGCCCTTCATGACAATTAGGGGGGGAATTTTTTTATAACTCATCCGTTTAAATTATATTAAGCCTTAAAATTCTGCATAATTAAGGGCGGGGCCACTTGAGTGACAGGTGGATTGCTGCTACTGTCACCACCATGGAGCTAGGCGGGCGTGGTTTCAGCAACAAGTTCCACCCACGTCCCACCTCTTTGCCCATTTTCGATTATCCAACAGTGACGCGCTGCCAAAATGGCAACGGCCCGCTCCACCCACGTTAGGCTTCAAAAATGCTCTTCAGAAATCTACGGGTGACGTCACGTCCATGTTTTTTTACAGTCCATGTCATTTACTCACCCTCATGTCGTTCCAAACCTGAATGACTTTCTTTCTTCTTTGGAACACAAAATAGATATTTTGAATAATGTACTTGTCACTGTTTTTAAGGATAAGATGGATATGAACTGATCAAAGGAAACTATAGGCCTAATTTGCAGTGCTGATAAGCTCTCATCTTTAAGCAAAAGAACTTTGTTCATGTTTGCTGTTTACATGAGAAAACTCTTCAAACGAGAAACATCTGTTTTAGTTAGATCATGTGTCCGGGTCACAAAGGAAGTGGTAACTGTTTCAGACACTGATAATTAACCACCACAGAATGAGTCAGGAAACAATATAGCGCTTCCCTGATGGCAGCAAAGAAATTTTGAGCTGTGAGAGTCCATATACAAGATTCTTCTGGATCTTGGAATTTCTGCCCTTCATTTAAAATATAGATATTTATGCATTCTCTTATAAAGGAAAAATAAAAAAGCTTTGCAGTGTCTTTATGCTCAGTTATGTGGTACCTGCTCATAGTATTTATCTTCACAGGTAAGCAACAATTCATTATTTTAATCAAGCCATATTAAGCATTTAATATAATAATAATAATAATAATAATATGCACTCATTCGGTTGACAGTACATGGAACCCATGGTTGTGTGATGACCAGTCCAGACCAGAAGGTTAATGTTGGGACAGATGCCCATTTGTCGTGTAATTTCTGTCAATGTCCTGGACCTCTGGATGTCATGTCTCTTAGCGTGGAGTGGGAATTCAAGGTAGGCTTCTTTTTAGGGATACAGACCAACACAAATATACTTTACACTTTTTATACAAGCATTTCTTATTCTTATTCTTATTCTTATTCATAATAATAACTAAAACCTTAATGTCTGGTACTTTTTGTATTTTTTTTAAACACAGGATATCTCCTCTGAGCCAAAAATAATCCTCTACTACATCAGAAATCGAACTGTACCACTCCCTGGTGTATTTTTTCAGGGAGATGTCAAATTAGGAAGTTTTGATATGCATCTCTCATCCGTGACCCATGAGAACAATGGGACGTATTTGTGTAGATTGCGTCTCAATGGCAGTTTTCACACGAATCAAACACACCTCATTGTGCAATCAGGTAGAAAACTTCTTTTTTTTTTCTTTCTTTTTTTTCCCCCAGAGTTTATTTATTTTATTAAGTTACTGGTAACACTTTGCAATAAGGTGGCATTTGTTAACATTAGTTAATGTATTATCTAGCATGACCTAACAATGAACAATACATTTGTTACAGTATTTATAAATCTTTATTAATCTTAATTAATGAAAATACAGTTATTCATTGTTTGTTCATGTTAGTTTACAGTGCTTTAACTAATGTTAACAAATACAACTTTTGATTGTAATAATGCAATAATAAATGTTGAAATTAACATTAACTAAGATCAATAAATGCTGTAGAAGTATTGTTCATGCTTAGTTCATGTTAACTAATAGAGTTAACTACTGTTAACTAATGAACCTCATTGTAAAGTGTTACCAAATTACTGGACAAAGGGATACTATTATTCAACAATGACACAATAAACTGATCACAAGTGACAGTAAAGACATTTACAAAAGATTTCAATTGTAGTCAGTTTTACTGATGAGTAAAATTCATCTTTTTGAGGAAATAAAAAGACCTGATAGTGTTTACATGTTAAATGTTCAGTTATGTTGGACATACAATAGCTTGAGTTAAGATATTGTATGCATGCATGTTCTGTGATCGTCTGATTGGGGACAGGCCCAATGACATAGATGTGCCTACCCTTGTATTGATTTATTTAATCTATTTTAGTTAAAAATTAATAACCAGCATAGTACTTGTTCACATTCTAAATGTAAATTTTGCAACATGCAAATCTAACGAACAAGTAAAATAAATAAATAAATACATATTTGTGTTGCTTTAGCTCCTTTTAATTAATTAAACTGAGAAAACAGCTATTTTTTTAAGTGTTGAATGATTTCTGTATGCTCATGTGACACTGAATAATGGCTGCTGAAAATTCAGTTTTGCATCACAGGGAATAAATTACATTAAAAATAAAACAACAAAGAAAATAGTTATTTTAAATCGTCATAATTTTTCACAATATTACTGTTTTTACTGAATTTTTGATCAAATGAATGCAGCTTTGGTGAGCATAAGAGCTCATGAAAGTGCTATGAAAATGAAAATGAAAATGAAAAAAAAAATTGACCTTTGTAAAAGTTTTAAATAGTTGTGATCCATAGCATGCAGTAAACAACTGTCAACATTTATTTATTACCATTTTAAAGGTTTCTATATGTGGATTAGTTTAAATAACAGCTCCAAACTCAATTCTCCTCTTTATTTTCTTCAGTACTGACCAGGAAAAACAGTCCAGGTGTGAATCGTCTGCAGGCACATCCTCCCTGGTGGCTGCCCCTGGCGTCAGTGTCTGGGTTTGTGTTACTAATTGGAACCGTGTTTTTGGGGAGGAAGGCTTGCAGATCAACCCAAAGAGAAAACAACTCAAAGTAAGTCATTGTCAGTTCACAGAGAGATATAGCAGCTTGTATGGCATTTTTCTGGCTTCATGTTGTGCTTCATTTTCTACTAGGCAAAAAATAGAAGAGGTTAAAACCAACACTGACAATGAAGACAAGAGAATGGCATACAAGGTAACGCACTATCTTTGCAACTTCCTTCTGCATGTCTGCTCTCATTTCCTCACTTTGCTTTCTGTACTTGATAAAGTCAATTATTAAATCCAATTTTCATTGATTTATGTTTACTCTGTTTAATTTAAGAAAACAGTGGTTGAGGTTTGATTCTGGAATGTTTAAATATTTTTTGGGTTGTTGTATGGGTTTTTGAAGATGACTTTTCAGCTTATTTTGTGTCTCAGGTGGGATACAGCTCTATGCCTGATCTGGCAGACGTGAACAGTCCTCCCAGCAGTCCAGATAACATCTATGTTACCATGGTAAGATTCAGTGAACTTGAAAAAGTCATGTGAATATATGAGTTATGTTACAAAATGTTCTTGTCAGATAAATAATGTCTATATCTGTTTATACGGTGCATAAAAACATTTTCTGTAAACTGTACATTTTTTTTGCAAACACCACACAAATGTTAAGTGAGAGTAGATATTGCCTGCTTTTGAACTTCCCTTGTGAAAAAGAAGTGTGCGTAATTGTATTGATACTTGTTGTGCACTTCAAATCCTTAAAGTATATTTTAAGAGTTCAGATGCAAAAGCCTCTAAGTGCCGTCTGAAATTTTTATCTAAAATGAGCATTTTTATCAGGCTCCTATATTTATGTTCATTTATTTCACTTTAATGTCATCGATAAGGACCTATACATTGTCATTAAAGTAAAATGACAGAACCTAAACATATGAGCCTCATAAAAATGACAATTTTAGAAGAAAATTTCAGTTGGCACTTAGAGGCTTTCGCATCTGAACTCTTCATTTTTAAAAACCTGTACTTGCTAATAATAAGATATTAATGACCTAAAAGGCCACTTAAGTGTAGAGAGACACTTTCATGACTGTTTCTTAACACATTTCAGTACACTCTTAAAAAGTGACTTTCAATATCAATTTCAAATTAAACATTTAACGTGCATTTTAAATCATTGTATTAACTATTTTCATGCTTTAAATAAGTACACTTATTTTGATGTGCTGACTAACATACTGTACATGTGAAGCACATTTGAAGTACTTGATTATAATTTTAACACAAAGTTGGTATATTTAAAATATACTAAATTGCAACTTCATCATTAAGAATGTGTAAATACAAACCTATTTAAACACATGACATACACGTTTCAACAGAAATTACATTAAATTATTTACCATAAATGCCTATCAGTACATTCAATATAATATTTCATGGACAACATAACTATGAAATTATATATAAAGATGTACTGAAGTTCTAAAGCCCTCTTTAAAACCTATATATTTATATATATAAAAAAATATGAATGCACCATTACAGTAAATATATATGTTAAAAGACTAAGTGCATATTTAATTTTCTGTTGATTTATTTAATATTACACAACAATGGTAATAATATACTTAATCAAATGCACATATTAATTCTATTCTTAATGACTTGATATTGTAAGTGAAATGATATGTATGTGCATATGCACACATCACTTCATGTGTAAACTGATTATTAACCATTTATCACAGGAAACTAAAATGTGTTCACAAAATGTAAAATGGCTTTTGTTTGTGTGTGTTTGTGTGTATTCTCAATGGCTGGAAGCAGCATGGTTTCCCATTTGCACCAGATACTCCTGTCACAGCTGGACGCAGCAGACGTCTTCCCTCTGACTGGGAGCCGAAGGATGAGGATCCCATATATGTCCACTGCCACCAAGATTTATCAATCAGATCATGTCGCTTAAAAGATGAGACACAAAATAACTGATTATTTAAATGAATGAGAGTAAAAGTCATCTGTATTGTCAGATATGTATAATATAGTCCCCCACAGGCCTGTTTACATTTCTTGTTTCTTCAGTACTCACCAACTGAGTATACATTATCCCTCATGATAAATCTGTGTTCATCTGTCTAAATATGCATGCAGTTCAATGTCATTTTGATTATGTAGCTTTCTTTTTGTCCACATGCACCTCTTCCATCATCTGTGAGGTGTCAACGGTGGTCAGTTACTGCACTTCATTGTGAGCTTTTCCTCTTTATCTTCTCAATGACTTCTCATCAGCATGAAATTGCCACTTCTTCTAACAGACCCACTGTCTCTGTTTCCGAGGCAAACACATTTTTTCCCTGAAGTCCTAATAGTGGAGAAGTGATTACACACTTAAGTATACACGCCAACTCTGCCCTTTGAGATTCGAGGAACCACAGACAAAGAGTTGTATAAACCATAATAAAACTAGTGGCTAAAACCATTATTGGCATCAAGGCATACCCTCAATGTACTCTTGTTTCATTAATCAGATACATACACTGCTTTATGTTAGATGCCTATGTAGAAAGTATAGCTTTAATAAGCTTCATCATCATCATCATCGTCGTATTTTTCGGCACCATTCTCATCCCATATGTGTATTTCCACATCCTGCTCAATTCTAGTGCACAAATTTGATCTTCATTAGTGAGGAGATGAGGAGACGTGGCCCTACTGCAAGCTAGCGCCTCATTATTTGGTTTTGCGTTAACGGCCACTTGGATTTTCTTAGACTGATTTCTGACTTTTCTCAATTGAGGAGAGAAACATAATATAGAGGTGCATTCCGATTTTTTTTTTTTCTTTTTCTTTTTAATCTTGTGAAATGAGTCATATCATATTTTATGTTCTGCTATTATAGTGTATTATAACATGGTTCAATTGAACCCTCAAGTACTACAAATGACAAACCACAACCACGATATCAACCAGATTTCCTGCTACAGACACCTGCCTGCTTTAAATGTTTCAAAATAATTAAAATTTGAAAACAATAGAAATTTAGAAAAGTAATCAAAAAGTAATCAAGTGAAATCAGTTACATTACTTTAATAAAGTAACTGAAACAGTTACATTACATATTACATTTTAAATTGGGTAATTTGTAATCTGTAACCCATTACATTTCCAAAGTAACCTTCCCATCATTGGACCTGACACCTTGCAACTCCGACAAAGAGTTGATCAAATTAAACTAAAATATAAACCCATATTGGATTTTAAAGGGTATCATTCCTTAAAACAAAATCCCCTTTTTAACTGTGATAATAGAATGCAAAATGCAAAAGAATGCAAAATGTTTTGCAGATTGATATTATTATTATTTTTTACTATAGTATAATAGATTTGAATAGATTGTAAAATGAATAATGTTAAATTAATAATTTTATTTCTGGAAAAATAAAATAGGAGTAACTTCTGTAATTAAAAATGTCATCAAATCAGGCGTTTGTTTTCAGCATTTAAACATCAAAATCATGATACCCTTCAATAATATAATTGAACATATAGGCTACAATTAGGTTTATGCACTCCCCATGCATGAAGAAAATAAGGTTGCATCCCAGGAGCTCTACAAGAATGTTATAGAGTGATTAATGCAGCCAAGGAAAACATGAAGAAAAGAAAGTGGGAAATAACACAGGTAGCCTACGACAAATAAATTAATTCTTAGCATTTACATATTAAACTGTTGGTAAGCCGACAAGATAAGTTATTTAGGAAAATTATTATTTTAGTTTTTGCATTTAAGACTGCTATACCATGTGCAGCTCAAAAAAAAACAAAAAAAAAAGTAATGTAGCCTATGTCCCAATGTGGCTATAAGCAAGTGTCGATCAAATGAGCACATGATCGAATGACATCACTTTAGGGCACGCAGCATGTATCCATGGCAACGCTCAGCTGCGTAGTGACAGTTAACGGTCCTCGGTGATTCCTCAGACACGGCCTTGAGTTTTCGCTTTCTTTGGTCGAAAAGGTATTTATACTTTTATATTTGTAGACATTAGCTACCGTAACCACTGTATCTCGTAATGCTTACATTTTATGAAAAGTTTACCTTTTTAAACGTTTGCTGAAGTTGTCCCGTACGGCTGCTGAACACTTTCGAAGCTAACATTAGCATGTAAAGATGAAATGATTAAACGTATATAATATTGACAGATATTGAACTTAAATATTGAATTTACATATGGTAAAAATACACACCGATACGCCTATATGCGGCAAAAAGGCCTATGTGCGCTAAATTTCGGACCGCTTGGTCTAAATCCAAATGTGTTCATTTTGTTGTTTTAGGTTAGAAGACAATGGGAAGAATTGCCATCGGACTAACCACAGCTGACAACCAGAGATGCACACAGACAGGGAAAGAGCACCGCAACTTTACAATTGTTCAATTAAAATAAAGTATTTTGCTCCATACACGTGTCTGTTGTCTTTGATTAGCCTAAAAGTAAAATAAAATGACATTCAGAGGACTTAAAGCGAAAGTCCCCTAAACGTCCCGAATGGCCGCTGCACGTCCTGTGAACGTCCCCTTGAACGTCCGGAGGACGTCTTCGCGAACGTCCGCTCGACGTAAAAGGGACCCTACACGCTGACGTCCGGGGGACGTTCGCAGAGGCCATCAAAAGTGAACCGTACCGAGCCGTACCGTGCCGTACCATGCAGTGGAAAAGCGCCTAAAGATAACCAAAAGTTCACTATTGGATTCTCTAACAAAAAAAAAAAAAAAGAAAAAGTAATGTAGTCTATGTCCCAATGTGGCTATAAGCAAGTGTCGATCAAATGAGCACATGATCGAATGACATCACTTTAGGGCACGCAGCATGTATCCATGGCAACGCTCAGCTGCGTAGTGACAGTTAACGGTCCTCGGTGATTCCTCAGACACGGCCTTGAGTTTTCGCTTTCTTTGGTCGAAAAGGTATTTATACTTTTATATTTGTAGACATAGCTACCGTAACCACTGTGTATCTCGTAATGCTTACATTTTATGAAAAGTTTACCTTTTTAAACGTTTGCTGAAGTTGTCCTGTACGGCTGCTGACGTTAGCCTATGTGAACACTTTCGAAGCTAACGTTAGCATGTAAAGCTGAAATGATTAAACTTATATAATATTGACAGATATTGAACTTAAATATTGAATTTACATATGGTAAAAATACACACCGATACGCCTATATGCGGCAAAAAGGCCTATGTGCGCTAAATTTCGGACCGCTTGGTCTAAATCCAAATGTGTTCATTTTGTTGTTTTAGGTTAGAAGACAATGGGAAGAATTGCCATCGGACTAACCACAGCTGACAACCAGAGACACACACACACACACACACACAACTTTACAATTGTTCAATTAAAATAAACGTATTTTGCTCCATACAACGTGTCTGTTGTCTTTGATTAGCCTAAAAGTAAAATAACATAACATTCAGAGGACTTAAAGCGAAAGTCCCCTAAACGTCCCGAATGGCCGCTGCACGTCCTGTGAACGTCCGGAGGACGTCTTCGCGAACGTCCGCTCTACGTAAATGGGGACCCTACACGCTGACGTCCGGGGGACGTTAGCAGAGGCCATTTAGGGGACGTCCTGGGGACCTTTTTTTGTTAGCTGGGAGCTCAGTGTCATATTGATGAAACAGAGTCCATATTTGGCAAAATATTGTGACTAAAATGTAAGGTAATGAACTTCATGCTGCCTCCCATTGGCTGTTCAGTAAATATGCTGATAAAAGAGAAAATGAAAAGAAAAAAAAATACAATAAGATAAAACTCAAGAATTGAGAGAGGGATACTATAATAATAATAATATGACAGTTAAATAAGGAAAATACTGGAGACAACTTTGGGGTGAAGAAAAGGGGCTTGATGGTGTGAATCAATGTTGAACAGAAGTTTCATGTTTACATCTCACTTTGTAAACTCGGTAAAGTAATAAAATAAAACGAAAATATCGAAAAACATCAAGGAATGTCTGAACAAACAAGCAAGCAAACAAGTCTAGTTAAAACCATTCATAACCAATGTGCATGTTCTGGTTATTTTGCGAATAGGTTTACTGTTACAGCTGTGGCCTCATAAAACCGTTTCTGGTAAAGGTTGCATGAGGATTATGCATTTCAGCAGAAGACAGATTACCTACTTTCTTGTGAATAACCCATGTGGTATTGTCCACAAATTTTAATTCATTCAATTTTCTTAGCGAACATCTGTTCATTGTAGGCTTGACATAAACGAAAAGGAGTTGTACACACCAGAAGAGTTTCGCAAAGCTGAATGGGGAAGTTGAATTCAAGTTCAAGTGAAAGCAATGCAGTTTTTCGAAAAAGCCACCAGAGGGCGTGAAACACTTTGTTTCGGTGATGGTAGAGGAACATGACCTGCAATTATAGTAAAACCCAGTTTCACTGAACTGTCTATCTCAAAAGTCATCCTAATTCTAATCTTAAATTATCTAATGAGGTTAGATGATATGGCCATATATCAAAATATAAGAGCCTCAACTATTAGACATGTTCTAAATATAATTATTTATTAAATGGCATTTTTTTTGCAATGGTATAAATGTGGCTTAAGTGTTATATTGTATGTATGAATATAATATATTGCATGTATGAATTTTAATACAAGTTTTGTCCTCTAGAGTACTGGTCTTATATAGTGACTTCCTTTGGCAAAATTATTTGCATATCAATACCATATTCAGGTATACAGATAAATACTATGGGCGTTAGCAATATTTGTGCGGCATCCTATTCTCCAAGAGATTGAAGTTAATAATACATTTCAGTCGGCTTCCTGGAAAATACTGAATTATTCCACAAGCCCCAAAAGCTATTGAACTCAGTTTCATTATTGAAACCTTCTCCTCTTCTTCTTCAGAACCATTGCAAATAGATAGATAGATAGATAGATAGTAATAATAATATGTCACAATATCACAGTTTTTACTGTATTTTTGATCAAATAATTCAGACTTGCTGAGCATAAGAGACTTATTTCAAAGACATTTAAAAACACATATCAAACACAACTTTTGAATGGTAGTGTATACAAAAAAAAATGCCACGACGACTCTCAGAGAGTTTT